CCTTCAACATGTATGTTCCTTTTTATCTTTATGATTATTCTTTCGTAATATTGTGTATTTGATTATTCTCTTTTGTTAGTGTCTTCTTCACTATGTATATAATTGTTCAGATCAATAAATTAAATAATCTTAATTATCCTATCATCAAATATTATTAATTTCAAATGGCCAACTTTGAAATTGGCAGGAGTAGCTTGCATACGGTGGTTTTATTAATCATGTACATGTATTATGAATTTTTCACACGTAGATTTTGATTCACAAATGAATTATTAAAAGAAACAATATTTCAAACATCAAGAAAATTATATAATTTTTATCCAAATATAACTCTATATATAATTATTATCCTCTCACATGTAACATCTCATGCTTACATATATGTATAAATTAAGAACTACACAATTTCGATAGTACTTTAGTCTTCTTCAATAAGAATGTCTCTTTATTGTCTTACATTATTTTTCTTTTTTAAATTTTTATAATAATTTCTATTTTTCTTTTTGTTGTTGTTGTTGTCATCTTCATTGCTTAAAATTATTCCCCCACTGTAAATAGAAAGGTTCTTCAAAAATTAATAATATTTCCTTTTTCTTTTGTTAGTGATTGATTGCTATCTGTGCACCCTCTATTCGAATCAAGATTAGGACAATAAGCACGAGAAGTCCAGATCCAGCATAATGTTACAATCGGCGTAGATGATGAAGGCACCACTCCAGAATTATCTTATAAAAAGATAAAAGTGAAGAATGCTTGATCTTGACTCAATAAAGAATAAAATAGAAAGAATAAAAGACAATACTTTCTTAATATTTTATAGAATAGCCTATTTTTTTAGTAAAATTAGTAATATTTGGAAGAGATATTCACGAGTTTTTTAATATTTTATATACTTATTTCGTGGACGCTTTTATCATATAAAATTATACTAGATTTAGCATTAATATTTAGTTTATGGTTTTTAATGAAATCTATCAATGATTAGGAATAAAATTCGTATTCTCTTTTGTGCTATTTTAGCCACTTCTAATCAATTGTTTAGGCTTATTAGCTGTAATTATTTCTCTTGCTATTATACTACTATTTTAAAGCATTTTTTTTTACTTTTGCAACACTACACTCCCTTAGGTAAAGCTTCATCTCATGTCAATCCAAATAATATGAATATTCAAATTGGCTTCACGTTGGTTTCATATCAATTCAATTATCAACATAAAACTTATAATTGGGTGTAGCCTATTCAAACAAACATTAAAGAAGATAAGTGATCACAATATTAAATTTTAGAGATATAAATGAGCAAAAACTATCAAATTGAAATCGAAGAACAAGTTTAAGTTAGGAAATAAACTAAAAATAAATAGTTATAATATTTAATCACGTGCAATGCACGTACATAAAAACTAGTATATATATATATATATATATATATATATGGGAAAAGTGAATCTAAGGTGACACCCTAGGCTCCCACCTAAGGACGCGGCCTAAAATCACATCACTTCCTATTTTTTTTGCGATCCGCTCCGTTGAACTTGATCTACACGTTCTTAAACCCAAACACACCAATTTTGGGGTGAACCCGTCGTGTTTTGACCCTTTATCCACTCGTTATAATTTTAACGGTTTAGAATAAATAGAACTTTTTGCACGGCTCAATGAATGATCAAAACACAACGGGTTCACCCTAAAATTGGTGTGTTTGGGTTTAAGAACGTGTAGATCAAGTTCAACGGGGCGGATCGTAAAAAATTTTTAGGAAATGATGTGATTCTAGGCCGCGTCATTAGGTGGGAGCCTAGGGTGTCACCTTAGATTCACTTTTCCCATATATCTATCTACCCTTTAAAAGAGGGAGTTCTAAAAAAACTTTATCCTCCCCAAAATAGCCTTCCACCAAATTAAATTACCAAGTGAGTGTTTGGGTACTGATGTGTTTTTTGGATTTCCGTTTTTTTCTCATTTATTTTCCCCCAAACCAACGCCATCCCCTTTTCTCCCCCCTCAACCCCTCGTCGTCGCCTCTTCGATTCGCTCATGAACTGATCTCTCCATCGCCATGGAAGAGATCTCCAATCTCTTAGACCTCTTCAAGGATCGCAGTCCCCCTCGCGATTTCGCTCACCGCTTCCGCTCCGCTCCGATCAAGTCCGGTCTCTTTCGATTCCTTGCGATCCTCGATTCCGAAGCCCGGCTAGGGTTGGAGTCGTGTAGCGCGTCTCAAATCGCTGCAGTCATCTTCGTCGCCAAATTGATCGTCGGCTCAGATCGCTGCAGTCATCTTCATTCCTCTTATTTTGTTCTAATTTTGCCCTAATCTGAACCTCGATCAGCAGAGCACCAAAGTCCTGAATCTGACTGTTCTTCAGAGGATCGATCCCCATGTGGAGGAGATTATGGAAAAGTGAATCTAAGGTGACACCCTAGGCTCCCACCTAAGGACACGGCCTAAAATCACATCATTTCCTATTTTTTTTTTGTGATCCGCTCTGTTGAACTTGATCTACACGTTTTTAAACCCAAACACACCAATTTTGGGATGAACCCGTTGTGTTTTGACCATTCGTTGAGCAGTGCAAAAAGTTCTATTCATTTGAATTTGTTAAAATTGTAGCGAGTGGATAAATGGTAAAAACACGACGGGTTCACTCTCAATTTGGTGTGTTTGGGTTTAAGAACATGTAGATCAAGTTCAACGGAGCGGATCGTAAAAAAAAAAAGGAAATGATGTGATTTTAGGCCGTGTCCTTAGGTGGGAGCCTAGGGTGTCACCTTAGATTCACTTTTCCTATATATATATATATATACACACACATACGCGCGCAGATTTGCATCTAAGAAAATCTAGCCAAGTTGATAAACCGTCTACGAGTAATAGACGTAAGGCCTAGCTGAATTGGTCCCACATATCGTGGAGAAGCCCCCGCGCCAAACCTAAAAATAAGAAAAAGATTAATAAGTTTGCGTAATCTCTATTCTGTAAGGCTTTAGCCGAATCGGTCCGAAGTATCGTGTACAAGTCCCCGCGCCAAACCTAAAAAAAGAAAAGGATTAACCACTTGCGCATGCATACGGATAGATTAACAAGCTTGTATTGACCAACGTCTACAATTAGCGATTAATTAGGAATCAAATAGACCCATACCCGATCCGCGAGTGTTGTCGGGTTAAACTAAATCCAAACCGAATACCAACTTCTGAAGCCCTCTCTCTCCCCCCTCTCAATCAATCAAATCCGACATGCTCTCCTCGTTCCGCCGCCATCTCCGCCTCTTCTCGACGCCGTATTCCGTCCCATCTCGATCCACCGCCAGCGCCTCCTCTTCCGCCGCGTCGTCCCCGGTAAACCGCCTCGCCCTCGTCACCGCCGCTCGGGGTGCGGGCTGGGCCCCCACCGTGCGTTTTAGGGCTCGTGAGGTCAGGCGGGGTCCGAGCCGATCAAACCGGCCCGACGCATGCTTAGGATGCACGCTTCGATGCAGGCCGGCCGTTGGTTGGCTCACACTTACTGAGCAGCTCTCATCGAAGGTCGCCGCTGTTGTGCCTCGTGGGAAAGGGGACGGGGAGTTCGATGAGGAGATCTGGCTCCAATCCAAGGTTTGTTTCATTTTTTGCTGCCTAATTTGGGGAGTTAGCTGCGTATTTTAGAGGGTGCCTGTTTAAATGTTGAAAAGTTCGAATTTTGATGAGTTATGTGTCGTTGGTCTTTTCCATTGCCTAGTAGTTAACGGCATCGCATTGAGTTTTGGCGTGTGTAACACTTGAGAGCTGATTATTGGTTGCATATAGACGAGAAAAAAATGGATTTTTGAAACATAGACATTGTTAAATGGACTTATGGGCTATATAAAGAGACCTTTTCCTGTTTATTGCTGATAATAATAAATTTCTAATGATGGGTTTGGGGGATTTCTCCCAATAAAGTTATTGAGTCAAAATAATAAATTTAGTGCTACTGCAATTTTGAACATGAGTATGCAAATGTTCATGTATAGTCTATAATTATATTATATATGTAGAGTTGATGAAAAGTAGCTAAATGACTGGGTCGTCAAATCTTGATGAATCGTAGACTTCATAGTTGAATAAGTTTATGTATGTTTTAGCAGTTATAGTCCTTTTAGAAGTTGAATAGTTCGAATGTCGATGGACTTCGAGTGGTGGTTTTTTTTGTTTGTTGCCTTGTTTAAAGAAAAAGCACTGGATTTTGGTATGTATAGTAGTGGGAGCTCTTACTTTGTTTACATTCAGATAAATTGGATATTGAGAGCATGTTTGGCAACCTACTTATTTTAACTTATAAGTGAGCTTTTACTCGTAAGTACCTAAAATGATGTTTGGTAAGGTTTACTTATTTACTTATTTTTACTTACAAGTAAGAAAAAAATAAGTTGGGATTTCTCAACTTATTTTTTTGGCACTTAAAAGTAGATTTAATATTGATGATAAAAGACTAGTTTGCCCTCTAACAAAATAAGTAAGAATAAGTAACTTATAATGTGTCAAAAAACAAGTATTAGCCAAACACGCCCTGAGTCATAGATTTTGTCGTATGGAAAGCCCATAGTATTCGTATTTGAAGTTCTGGGACGTATATTGTTATGTATAAGTAGAAGACTCATGGTACTCATCCATGCACCGCCAGTGAACTCATTAAAGAAGTGGTACCGTATACTTTTGAGATTGTTCTTGTATAAGCCTCTGGGTGTTGTCAATCCCTTATTTCATGCGTTGAGCCGTAATAAACCTTGTGAAATCGTTGTGTGGACATGTTTACTCATTCATTCAAATATTCATATTTAGTTTCTATACTTCCTATTTGGTATCCTGTCAACCTTGCAAAGGAGAAATTATGTTCTTATCGGATTAAACTAAGACGATGGGATAATAATAACTACTCTTTACTGTTGAATGACTGTCTGCTCCTGGGGCAATCCTAGCGTGCACATGCATTCACATGGACCGCCACATCATTAATATAACTGATTTCCCCCCTTTATAGGATCATAAATCCGTTGCAAGGTTTATAGCATATGCGTTGTGTTCAGCTGATGAGGCTCTTAAAGATGCAAAATGGCTGCCTGATGAATTGGAAAAGAAGGAAAAAACGGTATTCATTTTCTTTATAAATGATTTTCAAAGTTAGTCCATCTTTGTTACTGCTATTTTTGTCTCTAGTTTCCAACTTAAGAAACATCAGGGTGTTTCAATTGGTGGAGGTATTGGGAGCATCTCCGACATATTAGATGCATCACAGCTGATATGTGAGAAGGTTAGTTGTCAATATCATTCTATCGGTAAAGTTCTATTATCTATCTCTCTTTTTCTGCATGGATGTCTCATAGTCTTAACTCAAAAGGGACATTTATGACATTGCCTTGCAGAACTGTTGGTTGTGGATATAACATATTGTTTTATACTTTTGACCACAGCGTTTACGTCGGCTTAGTCCTTTCTTCGTTCCACGTATATTGATCAACATGGCAGCAGGTCATGTAAGCATGAAATATGGATTCAAGGTATTTCATATGTTATATCAATTTTGACAAAATTTTGTAAATTATTTCTAATATTCTTATGCTATGCGTTATATGAATCACAAGTTTCAGAAGGTTTTCAGAAAGTTGGATTTTTGCGTACAGGGTCCAAACCATGCTTCAGTGACAGCTTGTGCGACTGGAGCTCATTCTATAGGTGATGCCACAAGGATGATTCAGTTTGGAGATGCTGATGTAATGGTTGCTGGAGGAACTGAGTCCAGCATCGATGCTTTATCAATTGCTGGTTTTTGTAGGCAAGTCTTAACATTACATGTAGCTAATTGGCAAATATGTATTGGTTCTCATCTTCAATCATTCTGTGGAAATACTTCAGATGACCACGCTATATTCTGGATATAATTCTATGAATTCATGTATCTCTGATTTTTCCTCTTAATATAACTATTACTAGTATTTGATACATCCTCTTTCTTATGATAATTATTTTGAGGTCACATAACCTAGACACAAACTGCTTCTTGGCATTGAAACCAAAAAGTGGGTCTCTTTCCTGCTAACTAGTCCAGTATCTTGTCCATTACTGTTGTGACTGAGGAGTTGGCACTTGCTTGTTGAGAGTTGATTGTTTAAAGTTGACTGTGGAAGAAATTTTTGGAGTACAGATTTGTGCTCTCTAATCACTTTATTCGATGGTAGAGTGTCCTGATGATGATAGATATGAACTAGAAATCCAATTCCAGTATTAACTGTTTTAAAATATTTTTTAACTACTCATACTGCACCATTCATAAACATTTCAATTAAGTGAAATTTTAATTATTTTATTTGCTGTCTTGTACCTATTTGTCATGCTCTACTTATTAATTAACTCCAGCACAATGCCATGTGAATGCCCGTTTGAGAATGCATTGATTAATTCATGGAGTGTGCCTCATGTAGAAAAAACTGGATAGGTAATTTATGTCTAATAAACTTACCTGTGGTATCCATGCTACGAAAAAAATACATGCCAACAGTATGTGCTTATACATTGTTTAACTTGCATCCATGGACAAGTGATGACAAAATCAAACAAGGAGAAAAACTTCTGCTTTGTCATCACTTTAATATAAAGGAGAACCTTTAATCACTGATCCTGAAAATAGCACAAGGACAAATTTGCAAAATATATATACAACCTTATTCAGAGAAAGTCTAATTTCTATCAAAATCGTGCCTTACATGTTACATATGTTTAATATTTATTGCAAGTATATGATTGTAAACATCATTTATTTGTGTAGGTTGAGGGCATTGTCAACGAAGTATAACTCTCTTCCTAAAGTAGCTTCTCGACCATTTGATTACAATAGAGACGGATTTGTGTATGACATATGTCCTATGCCTTTCCTTTCTGTTGTTTCTACTATTTCATATACTTTAAAACTTGCTTGGTCCTTATCTCTTTATCTGATATTAGAAAAATTACAGGATAGGTGAAGGTTCTGGCGTCATGGTACTGGAGGTAAAGAAGTTTTTTTTTTTAAGTTTAGATTAGAGTTGCATGATACTCATTTTTTGCATGTGGATGTTTTTGTATTTAATATTATATTGTTTTAATAAAGTATGTATAAATGTTTTAAACTATGTGTAAATATTTTATGAGTTATTTTAATACACTATTATTATACATTATTATTAAAAAAATAAATTAGACTACTATTAGTAGTTATACTATTATTAACATTCATTTAATAGTTACTTAAATTATCTTATTATTATGTTATTAAACAGTTTATTTAAGAGTATAGTTATTAAATAATACTGTAATCATTAGTTTAAGTAACACTATCAGAATAACTAAACTATTTATATCATTAAATATTTACGCTATGTAAATATTTTATTTATAACATTTATTTAATAATGGTAATAGGTTTTAATATTATATGACTTCATTTATACTATTGTTAATAATTATAATTATGTACACTAATTTATTAAATGATTATTATTACTATTTTTATTGCAATCAATAATTCTTTATAATAAATTATAATATATTTTTAAATTTTATTTTTATTATAAATTATTAATATATTCTAGTGAATGACCAAATATTTTGGGAAATGAAGGGTGCATAGTTAATAAGAGGTTATGGATCATTAGTTATATAAATAGTGGTATAATTATGAATTATCAAAAAGTGAGAGGGTAAAAAAGGAAATCAAAAGTTTTGACATGGGTATTCTCTTTTATAAGTAGTATAGATATAGATATAGATTTAAGAAAAGCCATGCTTTGGGTCATGACTTTTGGTTCTACCCTTATGTGAGTCACAATTTCAAAAAATTCAAGAAATTTCCTCACAACTTACACATAGTTGCAAAACGCTAGTATTAGCTTAAGGCAGGGCCATTTATTTTACCGCGTCTTAGGAGATTCACACATCTATGTATTATTAGAAGAACGAAGTGTAATTTTGAGTTGTCAGAAAAATGGGAACTCTGGAGATCATCCTTTTCTTATTTTAAAATTGAAACTCATTTTGTCCATATGTTTAGCTGTTTTATAGTGGGTGAGCTAGATTTTTTATAAAGAGAATGGATTTCTACAGTTGATGGTTTGGACAGAAGTATCTAAACTGTGCTTTTTATATATAATGATTTTAGGGTTATCCAAAAAAAGGGAGTACGTTTAACACGTATATAATGACTCACTCAAGTTTCATGAGGTGACCTCTCACCTGAGCATGCACTCTATCCGCCCACCTGCACTCCATGCTTTTTCATTTTTTTAGCGGTGCCTAAGTATTTTAAGAGCCCACAGGCCACGATAGATGTTAGAATTTTTGCTCGCCTCGAATCTGCTGTTTCAACTTCTTGGAATTTCTTTACCATAGTGTGTTTTGAATAATGTCCAATTTACTGTTTCAAGTCCTTAGGATTTCTTCATCATCTCATGCATGCATTTATTTGTGAACTCTTTTTTGTTCCATGTACTTTCCTTTTCTTCATATAAAGGAGTTAGATCATGCAATGCAACGAGGAGCAAAAATTTATGCTGAAGTCCGAGGTTATGGAATGTCAGGTGTATTACAGCGAAATTCTACATGTTCTGTGATATTTTCATTTGATATATGTATGATATAGTGAAGTCAATTCTTATAGGTGATGCTTATCATATAACCAAGCCACAATGTGATGGAAGAGGTGCTATTTTAGCCATGACGCGTGCATTGGAACAGGTAGGATATTGTTTTTCTTGACCAGCCAGTCTGTAGTTGAGTATGCATTTAATTTATGTAGTTAGGTTTTACCACATGTTTGAGTGGGTTTGAGTCGCTGGGTCTAAGTTCTAGCATAAAAAGACAAGAACTGAAGAAGTTTGTGCCCCAACTATGAAAATGTAATACTTTACTGAAGCTGTTACTTTTAATCCTCCATGTGAAGTCAGGGCTTCATCCCAATCAAGTAGACTACATTAATGCTCATGCTACCTCCACTCCACTGGGTACTTTCTGATTCCCTTCACAAACTGTATTAAGTTGTTATCAACTGAAGCACAATTATAAAGGAGGAAAATTATTGAATTCCATCATTGAACAGGTGATGCCATAGAAGCCAATGCTATTAAATCTGTCTTCAAAGATCATGCGACTTCTGGTGCTTTAGCACTGTCTTCCACAAAGGTAGTGCTTGTGGACTTTTGGTTTTCTGTTCCTCTTTTAAGAAATTTTGTTATTGTGCTAACTGGTAACTTTATTTTGCAACTTATATAATCATGTCGCTTTCTTCTAGGGGGCTACTGGTCATCTCCTTGGAGCAGCGGGATCTGTTGAAGCAATCTTTGCTGTATTGGCTATTCACCACGTATGTTTCCTTATAATTATCTTATTATGTAACTTTTTTTAAGTCTGTTCTCTAACCCATCAAGCACCTTGGCAGGGTTCAGATAGTGAGAAACCTGTTATTTCTTCTTATTATCGCAAATTCGTCATATCATTTTCTAGTTGCTCAATTAAGTAGTGTGAAAAGATCAATAATAGTAGTAGTAGTAGTGATGTATAACCCTCTTTCCTTTACTGGAGTCTGGACATATTACTAAATAAGCTGGTAGCATTGCTCCAACCTGCGACTGTCTGTTTCTCAAGAGTTGTGCTGCTAACTATCTAAGCTCCTTTTCTGTTGTTTATAGTTCTCTCACTGCTTGTTTTAGTGCAGACCATTTATATGGACTAAATGGTGTGTTTCATGCTCATCATAAACTATCTTCTCATATCATAATGAGAGGGTTGAGGTATCCCTGGATACTATGAAGCTAAATTATTTACATGTTTGTCACATTTTGGTAGACGTGTGAAATAACGAGCTTTATATGATTCCTTACGTGCCCTCAGGATAAGATGTACGTAGATTTAAGTTTTTCATGTTAGATATGGGTTATATTAGGAGGTTGATGTGCCAAAAGTGGATTATGAACTATCATTGTTCCAGCCCAATCTGGAACCTACATATTTACCAAACTATGTTTTATTGGTTTCAGGGAATTGCACCGCCGACACTCAATCTTGATAAACCTGATCCTGTTTTTGATGGAGAATTCATGCCTTTAACTACATCAAAGAAGATGCCTATAAGAGCTGCACTCTCCAATTCTTTTGGCTTTGGCGGTACCAACGCGACCCTTTTATTTTCCTGCCCACCTCAACTATAGTTTCATTATTTAGGATTATTTGTCAAGAAATAAGCCAATCAAATGCGGGAAAAAAAAGCTGAAGATAAGCTATTGATCACAAAGATCACAAACAAAGAGTTGTATTATTGTTAATTATGTCGTATTTACTTCAAAGGTTTGTATTGTAAGGGCTTTCTTTGTTAGGTCTAAGAAGATCTTTTTGTTCTTTCTACGAATTGATTATGAGCTGTAATTCATCTGTAGGTGGTGTTGTTTGTATTATTGGGGTGGAATAGTGATGTAATTGATATTTATTCTTTTTGGCTAAGTAAATTATTGCGACTTGGAAGTGTGGTTGGAATTAGGCTTGGAAGTCGAGATACTGGGTTGTGCGAATTGTATTTCAGGCTCTAAAAGTTGAATAATTTGGTAATAAGTTGAATAATAAGTTGAACCTGAGATAGTCAAGTAGAACTGGGATAATTGGTAAAGTAGGATAATTTTTTGACATTGGGATAATTTAGTGGAACAATGATGGATAATTCTTGAAGTGGGATAATTTGGTAGGATAATTTGGTGGGGGTAATGGTGGATAATTTTATGAAGTGAGATAATTTGGTAGGATAATTTGGCGGGGTAATGGTGGGTGTAAATTATTATTATTGATAATTGTATATTAAAAATAATACAAGATTGATAAGCAATTGATTAGTCTAGTAATAACTATAAAAATAAAGCAATAAAACATCACTATTCATCTCAAATAATAAAATATTTTAAAACTAAATAAAAATCTAAATCCCTAGAGTGACTCGACTTCCATCATCCCACATGGCGTCCGCCATAGAATTTCTCCAAGCTCCCGCAGCTACTCGTTGAGTTTGTTGAGTCTGTAACTCATCTTCTTCATCGGAGTCATCATCTGCATCAGCAACATTTCGTGGAGCTTCTAGTGGAAGATCATAAATGTCGAAGTCATCATTTGTATTCTCCAATCTTAAAAAGTTATGCAATCCTACGCATGCAACGAACATCTTTATTTGTGTGGCATATGGAAAACCTGGAGGTTGGCTCTTGAAAATAGTGAATCTAGACTTAAAAACTCCAAAGATGCGCTCGACACAATTTCTAAGAGACGCATGCCGATGGTTGAAAACTTCTTTTGAATTTCGTGGTCGTTGTTGATTATTAGCAGGGCCGAACTCTGAAAGATGGTACCTTTGACCTCGGTATGGAGCAAGAAATTGTAGCCTATTTGGATAGCCGCTGTCAACTAGATAAAATTTATCTACAAATAAGAATAAAAATATGAATGAGAAAAAATATTATAAAACTAAAAAATATTCTTTAATTGATGGAATACTATGTACAGATTATTACTCTGTGGAAGTGGAAGTCCATAAGGTCTACTCATAGCATCCTTCAAGACTCTTGCATCATTAGCAAAGCCCTCCCACCCAGCTAAGACATAAATGAATTTGAGATCAAATGTGCAAGCTGCCAAGATGTTCTGAGAGAGAAAACCATGTCTATTTCGATAGGGCGTCTGATCTATGTTATACACCATACACGGTATATGAGTCCCATCTATTGCACCGATACCGTATGTGAGTATTTCCTGTTATCAGGTAAAGTACTCTAGAACTCATATCTAATATAACAAGTACAGAGGAAATCTTGATTTTTGGGGTGATACACATACATGAATCAATTTTTTACATACATGAATCAATTTTTTGATCTAATTACAAACAAATTAAAGGCATGATCATCAACTTTGTTTAAAATCCATAGAACAAGTACAACGATAACAAACTTTGATGCCAAATATGCAAAAAGGCCTAGCAGAAGCCTGTCAAAAATTCATTTATTCAGTAGACTTCCATCCTCATATTAAGTTATTTCCGTCAAATTGAACATTGCCTTTTAGAAGGTATTAAACAATATTACTAGCCAACAAAATAAGGTTCAAAAACAGCGATTATAAAACAATTGTACAGCAAATTACATGTTTTCAGCTTTCTTGAATTGGCTTTGCTATCTCTAGAACTCATATCTAATATAACAAGTACAGAGGAAATCTTGATTTTTGGGATGATACATACATGAATCGATATTTTGATCTAAAGGCCTGATTATCAACTGTGTTTAAAATCCAAAGAACTGAAGTTATATACCTGATCTCGTGGACGGCGCAGAAGAAGTTGATGAAGTCGGAGAAGATGACACGGCGGAGACGTCGCACTGGGAAGGGAAGAGGATCAGAGAGAAGAGAGGCGGAGAAATTTTTTGGAAGGGAGGGAAGCGGAAGTGTTGGCCTTCTTGTTTTGATGATGTTTAACAAACAATTTACCACTAATGTTGTTTGTCTAGTATTTGTATTTTCCTATGTATTGTAGACAAACAACGTAGTTGGAGGATGTTGTTTGTCTAGTATTTGTATTTTCCTATGTATTGTAGACAAACAACGTAGTTGGAGGATGGATGGAATAAAGCTTCAACAATCATATCCAAAAGAGGTTGGCGGAATGTCGGTGAAGCTTATACAATTCAAGTTAAAGATCAAGTTCAAGCTTCATCCACAAAGTGTACAAAGTCAAGCTTATTGAAGATCAAGATCGGCTTGGGTAATCTAGTTTAGGTTTTATATTATGTGTGTTAAGTACCTTAAGCTCAATATCATATACACACACATATTTGGTTTCTATGTATATATATAGTTATATATATACATGCATGGTTTTGTGTTTTCATGTTTTGAACACTTTTGCAAAATAATGAGATTTCACAATTAGGAAATGCAAATTGAAAAATTATTTTTGTAACATGTTCAAAATATCATTTGCAAACATTTCTCAAAGTTTCATCAAGTTTGGAATTGATTTGTTATGTTTAAAGGAATTTACAAATTCACGTTTTCGTTCGTGCACATGTTCGTGCATGTTTTACAAAACTGATGAGTTTTTACAAATGAGAAGTGATATTTGAAAAATTCTTTCTCTGACATGTTTACCTACATGTTTAGAAACTTCCCTCAAAATTTTACTACTTTTGGAGTTGATTTACTGTGCCTACTTGATTTTACAAAATCGTGTATCACAGCAGATTTTCAGAAACTGTATTTTTGTGTTCAAACAGAAATTCTTTCTCTGACATGTTATTCTACATGTCTAGAACATTTCCACAAAATTTCATAATTTTTGGAGTTCATTTAATATTTTAAATTGATTTTACAAAACAGCTGCGCACTGCTACAGTAACTCCGGTCGACCGGAAATGTCTCACAGTGCGAGCGGTCGACCGAAAAAAAGGTCGGTCGACCGTCCAGCTCCCAGAATGCCCATAACGGCTATTTTTTTGTATCCGTTGGAGGGGTTTTTGGTCTTTTGGTTTGGGCTTTTGTTTGAGGTATTGGGAGGCTATAAATACCCCCTTATACCTCAGTTTTAATATATCTAAGAGAATGTTTTAGAAAGAGTTTAATAAGGGTTTAAACTTGTTTAAGTGTTGTTTAAGTTTGTTTAAGAAGCTTTTAAGCATTTGAATGTTTGGGTTTGTAAAATTAACTTCACAAGAGCTTGAGGAGTTCTTCTATTGGTGCTTGAGCATTCAACCTTTTCTCCTTCAATCTCTTGATCTACTTGAGAAGTCTTCTAAACTCTATTTCTAGCTCTTTTTATATATTTGATTATCATTGTTATTAAGCTAGAATTATATTGAGTTTAGTTTTGAATTATTTAATCTCATTATTACACACACCCACATTGAGCTTTTAGTATTTACATACATAGTATAGTTGGGTGGTGAGAGATTGTAACATTGAGTTGTGCTTATTTGAGTTCTCATCTATTGTAGAGAACAAATTTATATTTGTTACATTGAGTGTGTTGTGAAGTTTTCGGTGAACTAGAAACCCGTATTGTGAGGGTGGAGTGTAGCCACATTGTGAGAGAGTGTGTGGAGATCTCCTCGAGGTGAGGAGCGGAGACGTAGGTCGTGGGGACCGAACTCCGTGAGAGAAATTGTGAGGTATAAACGTTATTCGGGTGATCATAGAAAACCCGGTTGTGATAGTGGATTCTCACCGGGAGTGGGGAGCGGAGACGTAGGACGGAAGGTCCGAACTCCGTGATCATCTTTGTGTGTTTGTGATTATTTTGGCGTCTCACTTGTGCTTATTGTTCATATCATTCTCGTCGCCATTATCTATTGTTCACATTGTCCACTATCTTGTTTATCTTGTTTATATTTATATCACCCTTAGTATAGTATACCTCTTTGCTAGGATATATCACCTTGTGTATATTGCATATTCTTGCACATAACCCTTTGTACACCTATCTTGCAAGAATATAACTTGTTAATTAATTTTAATTGGCATTTAATCGGATTAGATTAGCATAAGACCCTAATCACCCCCCCCCCTCTAGGGTCTAACAATTGGTATCAGAGCTTGGTGCTCTTTGATTTAAGGTCTAATCGCTTTGAGTTAAAGATCCAAGTTATATCTTTGTGCTAATCGTGTTTTGATTGCATTTGTATCTTGCTTGCATATTTTTATATACATTATGGATATGAACGATGCATCTTGTTTAGGTTATGCCATCAATATTGCTCCTAGATTAGATAATTTCCCCTATGCCCAATGGTGTGTTAGATTTAAACTTTTTGTTCAATCTAAACACTTTGATTTATGAGAAATTATAGATGATGCTTATATTGTGCCTACTTTGGAGAAATCCAAGTGGAATAAGAATGATCATCGTATGTTTACAATGAACAATATTTTGTTAGAATATTTGCTAAATGCCTTTAATTCATCTATGTCTAACAAGTTTGTTCATTTTGATAGTGCTTATACCTTATGAAAATTTATTGAAGTACATCAATGGGACTTGGAGGCGATCCAATAAGCTTTGGCGGATCCGGCTTCAAGTTTATGTGGAGCTTCATCATGCACACAGCCACTAGGCGATAGCCCTAGTGAGGTTTGCGAGTTCGAATCCATTAATGATTTATCTAGTGATGAACTTGTTTGTGCTAGTGAAAAATTATTGCATGCCTATAACAAATTGTCTAAAGATTTTATTGATTTAAAAAGCAAGCATGATAATTTAGAATCCAATCATGAGGAGCTAGTGTCAAAATTGGATGACATTGCAAAAGAAAATACCATGCTTAAAGAAAACAATGACATGTTAATTTTGAAAAATGAAAAATTAACCACATCTATAACTAGCTTATCTCATGAAAAAGATAACGCCATGTTAGAAGTAGAGAACATAAAAAATGATACTGCTTCTTTTATAAATAACTAGTTGGATTGCACGTGCAATGCACGTGGTAAAATTTTTATCATTTATTATAAAATTTTAAATTTATTTAGGGAAAGATTTGTTATTAAATTATTGAATGTAAGCAATGGATCAAATATATAGACATAAAATAAAGTCATTGGACCTTATGCAACATCAAAACGAATAAGTTAAAATCTTTTGGATATTTGGATATAACAACTAAGAATCACCCTAATAATCTCATTGAATGAATGGGATACTTGGATTGAACATTAAATCTTTTGTGTCATATAACAAAATAATATGACCAACATTCAAGATAGAATACAATAGAATTGGTTCAGCAAGTGCAATATGTTTTCAAGAAAATACATGTCAAGTAGCATAGACAATTATCTAGCATCGGTTAATCACTATGAAGTCAAGCTCTTCTCATGTCTTCTTAAGAGAAAGGATTGAGTCTTGAAAGAAGACCCCAACCGAGCAATACATTCTTGAAAAAATGGGTGATTACAATCTACTTACAGATAATCATCAAAATCCCCAACCAAAGAATAAAATAAAGAGTATCTCTCATTACATCACACCCAAAAAAAACATAAAATTCCCTAGCTGTATACATCAAAAACCTATCAAAACAACTCCTAACATACTCCAACCAAGAAATTGGAACATTAGCAACATTTAGCAACAAAATATAGAGCTTAAAAACATCTCCATTCACCAAAAACCTGACCTCAACTAAATAGCATCAAATTGTTGATCTCCTAGCAGCTCCCCATGTCTCTTACTATTTTGCCATGGTTTTATGGTCATAGGAAAGGCTAAAACATTAAGGACATATCAAGACATATAACCTTCTGAACACAAAGTTAAAGGAACATGAAACAGGGATGCGTAGGGAATTAGAGCAGATCACCTAAGTACTGATTGAATCATTGATAATGATCAACAAAGCAATATAGAAATAAATCTCTCCTATAAAGAACATTCTTTTTAAACAAATACCCATTACATCTATAATATTTCTTACATTATAATATCTGCCAACATTTCTTACATTAACATATATAATATTTGTTATGCTATAGAGTCTATCAATAGAATAATTAAGCTAATAGACGCAAATGCGTTTTGGCTAACTATCATTCTCTAAGTTATCATATGAATTGTAGCTAGTAAGCTTAATAATTTCCTTTAGCAATTGCATTATCAATTTTTATATGTATCATGAAATTAGTACTTTCCTCATAGTAATTTCAATTGGCATTTGAGCTCATATTTGCTTACATGAATTAAGATATTGCAAGATATTTGATAATGTCCATTTAGTAAAAGTTTACTCTCTAATAGGAATTTCCAAATTTCAGAACCTTTAGTATGTAACAATTGAGTCAATTACAATTATTATTAAACAACTAAAAAGGAAAGGGGAAAAAATAAAGCTCTCTAGACAAAATATATTAAACTACTATATCTACTTATAGTTCTAACAAATGAGACAAAATATATTAAACTACTATATCTACTTATAGTTCTAACAAATGAGCGAAAGGGATATAGCCTATGATGATTTGTTGAAGGTAAAAAAACTTATAGTTCTAACAAATGAGCGAAAGGGATATAGCCTATGATGATTTGTTGAAGGTAAAAAAGGTTAATTTTTTTTTTTTAAATTCAAGCACAAGGTATTTATGATTATAATAATATACCATTATATTTGTGAATTTTAAGGTATATGCAAAAGTTCACAAGGTTCAAATCTCTCTAACCCAATTTATTTTATTTCATCAAGTACTATAAATGCACATTATCACTTACACTGATATGAACAGTCTCAAATCTTTTAACTTAATACATAAGCATGATTTGACAAAATCTTGTGGTTAGTTATGCTCAACAAGATCATGACCAAGGATAAAGTTAAAGCTTGGGGGAGAACAGATGATGCACAAGGTAACCTTTGTGGGCTCATAATAAAACTATTGAGCATTTGTTCTTTAAATGCTTATTTTCAGCTCAAATATGTGATCAAATACTATCCTATATGAGGCTACAAGGAAGACATAAGTCTTGGATTAGATTCCGGCCTTGGTATAAGACTCTAGAGGGAAGAAAAGGTCCAAGTTCAAGGCATAGAAGAGCTCTGCTTGTAGCAACTATATACTATATTTAGCAGGAACGAAACTGCAGAAAATTTAGAGGCATTAGCAATTCCCTCGCAGGATTACTCAATAAAATTCACAGCTTGATGGCCTGCAAACTTGGTGATTTTAAATGACACTAACTTATATTTGTATATTGTTCTCTCATGCAGCATTGTGATGTTTTTCTTGCTGTTGGAAGCCTACTTTTATTATACTTTGGAATGCCTAACTACGCTTGTACACCTGATAATCAGTGAAATATTCTTTACCTATGAAAAAAAAATAATCACTCAATTTGGTACTCAATCGCATGTCGCATTCCTATCTCACACAACTTGGATGAAGTATTGCCTTCTTAGTGATAATGCTTCAGAGTATTATGGATTAGCAAGATGTATTGCAAGCTTGCAACTTTGCAAGAAGCCTTAGAGCTTGAGTAAAATAAAGAATTTTCACTTTCAAATGGCCATGAAAGATTAACATAGAATCACATTGCCATACTAACCTAAAGCCAATGAGTCTTACATTTAAGCAAAATAAAGTTCAGTGGGATAGCAATGCATCTAATCTACGAAGTGTAATTATAAGCAAAAGTAAGAGATATTCTCCTTAATTTTTAAATAGGAGTAAAAATTATGAACGATCATTCTGATATCAAATAGTTACTCAAAGCTAATCATAACACAATATCATACAATTTAAAAAACAAACATTGGTAATGTAAGTCTCACCCTTGATTGATCCACCTCTGGATCTACCAGGGAAACCACTCCTGCAAGTGTTTCAAGTGTTGTCCATGCAACCGTACAAACATGAAAAGTGGTCAGTTTGATCAGGCGCAACAATAGTTGTACTTAGCAGTTACAACATTAACATGAGACGATTTCCAGCCAATCAAAGTGAAGCAATAATTACAAAAGACGTAAACTGGTAAATGTAGCATCTAGTATTAAGTTATTTTCAACATAGATACCAAGAAAGGTAAAAGATTTCAGTACCAGCAACATAAGTGCTGGATTCAGCACTGCTAGAATCATATCGCCATCTTCCATCACTTTGACTAAGCGACTGATGAAATAATGGTTTAAGTTATACCTCTTCACTAAATGGAAAAGTAGCAAAAAAGAAAAAGAATACATAGGAGTTGAAAGCTTATCACCTTTATGGAATCAAAAACACTACTGGCATTTGACAGTGACACATCAAAACCTTGATTCTGCATAAGAAAAATGAAAATATGTTTTTTATGTTTATAAAGTTTCAAATAATAACAGAACACATTGAAGATCAAAGAGAAGGCAATTAAGGATGTAACTATATTAATAGAAATAGAACTCGAGCATAATAAACTTGTGTATCAGCTGAAATAATAACAAACAATTTAGTACAAAACAAACAATGCAATGTCTAATTTGATCTCACTTATACAAAAGAATATATCGAGATCATAAGTAATCACGAGTTCTTCATCAATCTCAGGGCTCCACTCCTCAACATGCAATCTCTCTGCCAAATTCCCCCACTCATAAAACTCAAAGAAAAACAAATAATTTGGAGGCCTCGCATGAGCAATAACCAACTTAGCCAATCAAGGATGATCCACTTCACTTCACGCTAAAAAAAACCAACATCAAAATTATCCATATTGGTCAACATGGGCACTCCCAAAATCTCAACTTTAAGCGAAAACCACCTAAAGGAGTGTAAACTTTCTTACCACCACAGTTGAAGTTCTCTGTGGAACTTGTCGAGGTCGTCTAAAGAGGAAAAGACAGGTTTTTTGATGGTGACTCTCCGGCCATCGAGCCTCACGTCGTAGACGGTGCTTTCAGAACCTTTTGTTTGGTGAAATCAAAGGAGAGTCTCAGAATGGACTAACAGAAATTTAGAGAAAAGACATAGGGGGTTTGGTGAAATTTTACCTTAAGCGATAGGGGAGAGGAGAGAGAAGGAAGAGGGAGGGAGATGGAGGGGGATTGACTTGCTCGAGCAGCTCTCTTCAAACAAAATAGGAGGCACAATTAGTTGAGTCTAGCATACCTGTGCAATTTCACCACAATTCTCTTCAACAAAAAGAAGATATATGGGTAATTCAATATCAGCAAAAAATTTTTGGGGGAAGAACAATTTCTTTTCTTAGCTAATAAATATACCTTACTGGTTTTGGCATCAATCTAACATTTAAGAATGATGTTCAATCTCAATGCATGAAACATATCCTTCGTTGTAGAAGAAGACGAACCGAGTTTTTTCACAACAAGCGGGCATGTTGCCAGGCTACTTTCGGAAACCTTTTCAGAGTCCTAGAATCCGAAATGTTCTCACTGTTCCATGCTATATTTAGCCTCTTCATTTCGTAACAATTTTTTCATTAATTCTTAAGTAAAAAAACTCATAACTTGTGACAATTAGTTGGAATTTATTGGGTGTGAAAGCTTTTGATTTTATAACTCATTTTATAAATTCTTAATAATAATGGAAAACACCTCATAAATTTGCCCATTAATTAGATCCAAATTAACTTTGTTATATCTTAATAATAATGGAAAACACCTCATAAATTTGCCCATTAATTAGATCCAAATTAACTTTGTTATATTTAGAAAAGTTGAAGGGCAATTTGGGGTAGTGAAAGTTTTTCTAGTACTCCCTCTTTTAAAGGGTAGATGATTATTTATGTTCTACTTCTAAAGTTAATGCTAATATGCCTAATGATGAGTTGAACAATGTTAAAAATCGTATTTCTTCTTTAGATTCAACTCTTAATACATGCATTAACAACCATAAGAAGCTTATGAATATGTGTGTCAAGTCTAAGTCAAAATCATCTACTCATCATGCACACATATATAGCAAAGTCTACAAATGCACAATTTGCGGTCGTAAAGGCCATCTTGCTAGATTTTGCTATGATGCATACAAACATAACAATGCTAATGCTCATTGTGCATCTCATGTAGCTTCTTCATCACATACACATGCATATGCTTATCATGCACATCATAAACATGCCAATGTTCAAATGTGATCTTTGTGGACGTTTTGGCCATTTGGTAAAATTTTGCTATGATTTGAAAAAAACCTCACTTTTGCCAAATGATTTTAAAAGACCACAAAAGTTTAAGTGTGATCATTGTGGTAGATTTGGTCATTTGACCAAGTTTTGTTTTGATTTGAAGAGAGTTTCTCATTTGTAAAATAATTTTAAAATAAAATCTTTATTTGCAAATGATTCCCGTGCACGAGCAAATGATCCACAAAAACAAATGGATCTCTTTCATTGCACATATTGCAATCGGAAGGGTCATTTGAGCGATTATTGCTTTGACCGTGTTAGTGCACCACATATGCCTAAGAGGGTTCATAACCCTAGGGCTTTGAGCTGAGGATGGAGTTGGAGTGAGGGTTTTTGAGGGTTGAGAGGTGAAGAGATCGAAGAGTTAGGGTTTGAGATTTGATGAGAGAAGGAGGAGGAGATGAGGAGAGGAGAGATCGAAATTGGCGGGTTAGGGTTAGGGTTAGGCATCGTAGCGACGCCATTGGGGGCGGCGATCAGAGGGGGGGAAATGAAAGCGAGGGTTTTGGAGAGGTTTGGACACAACTGAGAATGGGAGATGGGGCTCGGTGCTTAATGGGCCATTGATAAAATCTTTTGTTTTCATGATTATTTGTTTTGTTTTGATGAGAGGTTTATACTTATATAACCCTCTGGATTTATTGAGTGTTTATTCCCAAATCTTGTTTATCGGGTGCTAAAATATTTATATTGGTTGATACTAGCTCAAGAGCTAGATATAGCTGCCTCTCTTGATTCTTGAATCAATGATGATTTGATTTTACGTTTTTGGATTTAAACTTTGATTTATGAATTCTTTTGGTTGATTTGTTTTCATTTGAAAACTTTTTGCATGCTTCTCATGTTCCTCTTCTTTTGATTTCGTAAGTCTATTCTTATACATGGTTTTTATAATGAGACACTATCTTTATAATGTCATATCATTATGTGTCCTCATTGTATCTTGTTTGTATGTGAGTGGTGTTTAGCATATCTTTTCATTTATACTTGCTCACATGTTTGCCATGATCTTTATTTATTGCATATTTTCTATATGGCATTTTGATAGGGGGAGTCCCTATATTTGTTTTATACTCACCCATGCTCATATGTAGGGGGAGCTTTCGCTCTCTTCATTCATTTTGTCCCCTTTTTGATGTTTTCAAAGGGGGAGAAATATTGTGAGTATACAATTCCCTATTTATATGCATGTGAATTATATTTTATATATCCATTTCCTTTCATGCATATATCCTTTTTTGTAAATAAATGTGACTTTCATACTTTCAATTCACTTGTACATTCTAGAGTGAGGAGTTCATAGTCTAGGATCGCATCGCAAAAAAAAACCTAATAAATAATTTTTTTGTAGCGGTGTTATTTCACTTTATTTCTTTACTTTTTCTCTCGATGATTTGGTTGGTAGAAAGGGGAAATTTTTTGTTAGGAAGAATAGTATGCACGGAATCACTATACGGGATGATTTGGTTGGTAGAAAGGGGAAATTTTTTGTTAGGAAGAATAGTATGCACGGAATCACTATACGGGTTCATTTGTTTGTGCTTGAAACCTTAGATGATCGTCTAGATATTCAATACACCGTATCACCATATTTCATTCAACTAATTAAGATAGTCCAATTCGTGCCTCTAATTTGACGTGACATATACTTATAATGCGCGGTTCAGTACACTTGATATACATAGTACGTAGTCTGCTCAGACAAAGAATAATAAAATCACTAAAATCCCACTCAAAGCAGCTAATAGCACCACCTCAATATTCTATTTTCTTTCCTATTTGCACATATCAAACCCATACACCCACTTATAGCAACGCTTTCCGCTTTAACCTTTTATTTTCTGTCCTATTAGCAAAGATCGTTTTTAGCTCCTTTTCATGCTTAACACCTTCACAATATACCTCACTGCCAAGTCAACCAGCTACTACCTCAAAAGCTCTCAAATGAGAAAACATCCCGACAAATTATTTCACAAAATATTGGAAGAAATAATTATGTTCCTTATAAGTATAACACCACTAACAAATGGAAAATGGAACGAGGCACCCTGAAAACTAAAACCATTCTTTTCTGTAGAGATTTTTTCTCTGACATGTTATTCTACATGTCTAGAACATTCCCACAAAATTTCATAATTTTTTGAGTTCATTTACTATTTTAAATTGATTTTACAAAATAGCTGCGCTCTGCTACAGTACTCCGGTCGACCGGACCGGTCGACCGGAAAATGTCTCTGGAACTTTTTCAGGTTTGTACAGTGCGAGCGGTCGACCGAAAAAAGGTCGGTCGACCGCCCAGCTCCCAGAATGCCCATAACAGCTATTTTTTTGTATCCGTTGGAGGGGTTTTTGGTCTTTTGGTTTGGGCTTTTGTTTGAGGTATTAGGAGGCTGCAAATACCCCCTTATACGTCAGTTTTAATATATCTAAGAGAATGTTTTAGAAAGAGTTTAACAAGGGTTTAAACTTGTTTAAGTGTTGTTTAAGTTTGTTTAAGAAGCTTTTAAGCATTTGAGTGTTTGGGTTTGTGAAATTTACTTCACAAGAGCTTGAGGAGTTCTTCTATTGACCTTTTCTCCTTCAATCTTTTGATCTACTTGAGAAGTCTTCTAAACTCTATTTCTAGCTCTTTTTATATATTTGATTATCATTGTTATTAAGCTAGAATTATATTGAGTTTAGTTTTAATTTATTTAATCTCATTATTACACACACCCACATTGAGCTTTTAGTATTTACATACATAGTATAGTTGGGTGGTGAGAGATTGTAACTTTGAGTTGTGCTTATTTGAGTTCTCATCTATTGTAGAGAACAAATTTATATTTGTTACATTGAGTGTGTTGTGAAGTTTTCGGTGAACTAGAAAACCGTATTGTGAGGGTGGAGTGTAGCCAGTGATCGTTGAAAACCGACATAGTGTGGTTGTAAACG